GTGGCTTCTATTCAAGTGTGGCTTTTATTCAAGTGTGGCTTCTATTCAAGTGTGGCTTCTATTCAAGTGTGGCTTCTATTCAAGTGTGGCTTTTATTCAAGTGTGGCTTCTATTCAAGTGTGGCTTCTATTCAAGTGTGGCTTCTATTCAAGTGTGGCTTCTATTCAAGTGTGGCTTTTATTCAAGTGTGGCTTCTATTCAAGTGTGGCTTCTATTCAAGTGTGGCTTCTATTCAAGTGTGGCTTCTATTCAAGTGTGGCTTCTATTCAAGTGTGGCTTCTATTCAAGTGTGGCTTCTATTCAAGTGTGGCTTTTATTCAAGTGTGGCTTCTATTCAAGTGTGGCTTCTATTCAAGTGTGGCTTTTATTCAAGTGTGGCTTCTATTCAAGTGTGGCTTCTATTCAAGTGTGGCTTCTATTCAAGTGTGGCTTTTATTCAAGTGTGGCTTCTATTCAAGTGTGGCTTCTATTCAAGTGTGGCTTCTATTCAAGTGTGGCTTTTATTCAAGTGTGGCTTCTATTCAAGTGTGGCTTCTATTCAAGTGTGGCTTCTATTCAAGTGTGGCTTCTATTCAAGTGTGGCTTCTATTCAAGTGTGGCTTCTATTCAAGTGTGGCTTTTATTCAAGTGTGGCTTTTATTCAAGTGTGGCTTCTATTCAAGTGTGGCTTCTATTCAAGTGTGGCTTCTATTCAAGTGTGGCTTCTATTCAAGTGTGGCTTCTATTCAAGTGTGGCTTCTATTCAAGTGTGGCTTCTATTCAAGTGTGGCTTCTATTCAAGTGTGGCTTCTATTCAAGTGTGGCTTCTATTCAAGTGTGGCTTCTATTCAAGTGTGGCTTCTATTCAAGTGTGGCTTCTATTCAAGTGTGGCTTCTATTCAAGTGTGGCTTTTATTCAAGTGTGGCTTTTATTCAAGTGTGGCTTCTATTCAAGTGTGGCTTTTATTCAAGTGTGGCTTCTATTCAAGTGTGGCTTTTATTCAAGTCTGGCTTTTATTCAAGTGTGGCTTTTATTCAAGTGTGGCTTCTATTCAAGTGTGGCTTCTATTCAAGTGTGGCTTCTATTCAAGTGTGGCTTCTATTCAAGTGTGGCTTCTATTCAAGTGTGGCTTTTATTCAAGTGTGGCTTTTATTCAAGTGTGGCTTCTATTCAAGTGTGGCTTTTATTCAAGTGTGGCTTTTATTCAAGTGTGGCTTTTATTCAAGTGTGGCTTCTATTCAAGTGTGGCTTCTATTCAAGTGTGGCTTCTATTCAAGTGTGGCTTCTATTCAAGTGTGGCTTCTATTCAAGTGTGGCTTCTATTCAAGTGTGGCTTCTATTCAAGTGTGGCTTCTATTCAAGTGTGGCTTCTATTCAAGTGTGGCTTCTATTCAAGTGTGGCTTTTATTCAAGTGTGGCTTCTATTCAAGTGTGGCTTTTATTCAAGTGTGGCTTTTATTCAAGTGTGGCTTTTATTCAAGTGTGGCTTTTATTCAAGTGTGGCTTCTATTCAAGTGTGGCTTCTATTCAAGTGTGGCTTCTATTCAAGTGTGGCTTCTATTCAAGTGTGGCTTCTATTCAAGTGTGGCTTCTATTCAAGTGTGGCTTCTATTCAAGTGTGGCTTCTATTCAAGTGTGGCTTCTATTCAAGTGTGGCTTCTATTCAAGTGTGGCTTCTATTCAAGTGTGGCTTTTATTCAAGTGTGGCTTCTATTCAAGTGTGGCTTCTATTCAAGTGTGGCTTCTATTCAAGTGTGGCTTCTATTCAAGTGTGGCTTCTATTCAAGTGTGGCTTCTATTCAAGTGTGGCTTCTATTCAAGTGTGGCTTCTATTCAAGTGTGGCTTCTATTCAAGTGTGGCTTTTATTCAAGACTTTACGGTAGATATATCCCGATTTTGCTAGCGATTCTGCGAGCAAAATATCGAAGAATTTTGACAAGAGAATTTGCTGGCAAAACGGAGCAAAATATCGGTATATCGGTATGTTGGCTGGAAATTGGGAGATGGCACACTTATACAGTGCACGTGACTCATTTTCGCACATATTTGCAAACACATGACTCACTTTTTTCTCGTTTTGCCAACACGTGACCCACTTTCGAATTTCGTTCAGATTTCCCACACTTTACACAAATTTGGGAGCAAAAAGTGAGCAAAATGCCGACGATGAGCCAGCAAAATGTTGCGGCAAAATATCGAAGCTTCGCTGTCAAAATCGGGCTTTGCCTACCGCAGACCCCGAAGCTGGAGTTGCAAACTCTTGGGGGTACAGTACACGGTAGGAATGCTTCAACTAAAATGTTTCCAGCAGACAAAAAAAGTTCGATCACGCCAGGATTCGAACCTGGAATCTCCTGATTCGTAGTCAGGCGCCTTATCCGTTGGGCCACGCGACCAATTACAATGAGGGCGCATAACATGAGTGATGACAAAATTGATGCTTCAGTTTTCCCATTATAATCTAGCACCATTTGTACTACACAGATTCTGCTGGGTTCCACTGCATGGCTGCCAGGTGCCAAATCATGGCCCCATAATGATATGGCCATCCGAAATGTGTGGTGACGAATTGTGACAAGTGATTTCTGCTGTGTGCACTGAGGCCTTATGGGGTATTCACACGACAGGCAAATCCACGTGCACCGGAAAGTTGCTATGGTATTTTACCTGTGAACGAGAAAAGTGGCTGAGAGTGGCTGAAAAGTGCAAGCGAGCTGGGGGCGCACTTTCACGATAATCGTGGCGTGCACGAGTACATTTACACCAAAAAGCGCGAAACAAGACTTGATTTTTTACGCGGCTCTTTAGAGCATGCCAATTATTGTATGCGTGTTTTGAAAATTTGAAATACCCATGGCTACTGGTCGGTGAAGCATTCAAAAATGCGAACGTGCCTGTCGTCGAGTGCAGCTGTGTGAATCCACACAGTCACTTTTCTCGTATGTCACTCCCTGTAAAACGTGGCAAGTGCCTGTCGTGTGAATACCCCATAACCAGTTATGTACGTGTAGATGTACCAGGGAGTCTTCAAATACCGGACTTGACAACTCTCTGACATGTAGCCGTACTGTACCTTTATCAACATTAGACTACGAGGTGAATTGCTATTTCTGGACATTGTACATTTCTGGACATTTCGAGTAAAATAATTTTTCGTCGCGTGTAGAGTCAAGTCAGTCAGGTTGATGAAGTTTTTTCTTGTTGTAGTTGACAGCTGGGTTGTTGTAGTTTCTCCTCGTGTCGGTGCCTTGTTGATAGCCTTTTCTTCGGAGGCATTTCAACGAGTTTTGTGGTACTATGTCGCATGAGAATTTTGAATTTTGAGTAAAATAAGAAGTAATGGACGAATCGTTGGCTTCCCCATGTGCACTGCACTTCAGACGCTGTATAGTCTTGGACCTGTTGGCTGGAAGTGTGAAGAGGCCAACTGCAGTCCACCAATAGAAAAATAACAAAAATGGTGCAGTATTGGATGCCTATTGACGCTATTTTACTTTCATGTCCAGAATTCCATATACTGAAAGTTAGGCCAAAAAATTGGTCTGTCGAAAACATCCCGCTATAAAGTGTCTGGGATCACAGCATGAGCAATTGTCACATATTTGGAAAGATGAAGGATTAGGCCATACAATAGATACAAAAAGATATGAAAAATGTAAAACACACAGCCAGTGGGCCTCTATTTTATTTTCATGTCCAGAAATTGCTATTCACCTCGTACAAGTACCACCGTCAGGCCAAATTTCCATTTTGTCATCAATCACACCCAATCATTGAACTGTGATTGGTCGCGTGGCCCAACGGATAAGGCGCCTGACTACGAATCAGGAGATTCCAGGTTCGAATCCTGGCGTGATCGAATTTTTTTAATCTTTTTCTCATAAGCATACTCTTCTCTATTCAGTATGGCATGCAAGAAAACCCTAAAATCGCCCCTGTGGACGATTCACGATACAACTTTTTGCGACGCGCCACGCAATTTGCCACAGTTGCGACAAGAAACTGCCTGTCGCGAGCTGTCGCATACAGTCGCAAGGCACCTGTCGCAGAAGTTGAAGAAAGTTCGACTTTTTGCGACATGCAACACGCGACATACACAAATGGAGTACAGTTTCTACCCTGGGTACAAATGGAGTACAGTTTCTACCCTGGGTACAAATGGAGTACAGTTTCTACCCTGGGTACAAATGGAGTACAGTTTCTACCCTGGGTACAAATGGAGTACAGTTTCTACCCTGGGTACAAATGGAGTACAGTTTCTACCCTGGGTACAAATGGAGTACAGTTTCTACCCTGGGTACAAATGGAGTACAGTTTCTACCCTGGGTACAAATGGAGTACAGTTTCTACCCTGGGTACAAATGGAGTACAGTTTCTACCCTGGGTACAAATGGAGTACAGTTTCTACCCTGGGTACAAATGGAGTACAGTTTCTACCCTGGGTACAAATGGAGTACAGTTTCTACCCTGGGTGCACGTGCATAGTAATACTACTACTGTAGTGCATAAGGATGTCGCAAACATGAAAAAGATTGTGAACCGTGTGTCGCTGCCGCAGCCCGTTGCAAGTTGCATATCACGTCGCAACAAATTGTATTGTGACTCGGCCTTTAGACTCAGGTTGCTGGATGTGAATCGACCAGTGCTACAGCACTCCATGCATAATGTATGGTGTCTTTCGACTGCTTTTCATGTCCTGCAATCCATCATTGTATCAGTGCGAAGCCTCTACATGTTGTCAGCTCTGAGTGAAGGACAAACTAGGCACATTTTGTAGAACTTCAGCCGTGCTTCTCAACTTTTCTAACCATTGGTAACGTCTTGTATGTACCGATACCCATAATATGTTGGGTTGCTCAAAAATTTGAAGTCGGGAGTGTGGCTTATATTATAATTATATGTACACAGAATAAAAAAATTAAAAAACACGAATTTTGGACCCAAAAAAGGAGGGGTTGCAGCTAACACACCCGAAAATCCGGTATGTGCCTTTCCTGTGCTGTGTCTCTGTGATTGCAGGAGAAATGCCGTCAGACACATCCAACATGGTCTCTGCTCCTGTCAACAGCTTCAGCACTTTCTTTGCGTGTACGTGCCACTCTCTTGAATGTGAACGCTGTACATGTACAGTGCGTGATGCATGTAACCATAGCAACTACACTTACTGGTGTGTCCCATACAATACTAGGGAGGTCGCCGAAGAACTGGGGGGGGGGGGGGGTCAGCCTCCTAGCCTAGACCATTCTTTGTTCATGTATCACAGTCTATGGGCAGTGGAGTCACCGCGTATACATTGGCATGCTGTGCTTGATGAGAAATTCTAGCCTGGCCGTTCTTCAGCGCTACCCGACAGTACTGTACTGGCCATAGGCCTACAAGGAAGTAGCTTTACATGTAAAACCTTCTTACATTGAGGTGTGTATGTGTGTGTGTGCGTGCGTGCGTGCGTGCGTGTGTGTGTGTGTGGAGATGTATTCATTGCTCACCTGACCAGGTGACCGAGTCATGTGACCAGTGACATATGTCACTGTGCATTGTGGTGTGTGCATAGTACTGTTGTGCTGGGTGAAATCCCGCCCAAAAAGTGCGTATTTGCCATTATTCGGCGCCCTGGACTTGCACGGCCCTTGACGCCTTGGAAGCGGTGAGAGTGCTGCTGGACACACACGCATGTACACGCATGTACACACACGCATGTACACACGCATGTACACACACGCATGTACACAATTCAATACAGCCATGTAATCGGAACTGGTCCAAGGCGCCAGTGTTGTGCGTTGGGTCAGATTTCACCTACACCTAGTGTGATTGTATACAGTCAGACCTCGCTTATCCGCTCCTCTTTTATCCGGATCCCTCGCCATCCAGAAGAAATCGTTGGTTACCGATTTACAGCATATGCCATGTATACATACAGTATGCGTGTTCGATTATCCGGTTCCCTCGCCTATCTGGTTATTTTGTGGGAAACGAATGTGTGCGGTTAAGCGAGGTCTGACTGTACACTGCAAGTATGTCGGCACTGGCCGTATGTCGGGGGAAGTGCACAACTTTGATGAACTGTCCATATACAATTATAGTGGTTTGTTTTTGGCATTTTCACTTTACATATTTGTTTTTTACGTCATCCTCTTCTCATTTAGATTGTGAAGATGTTCAGGCGGCTGGTGTTTATGAAAGCTACGCTAACAAACTGAAGAGGTCAGTAGATATACAGTACAGTAAGCCGCACTGTGTCCGTCGCACCCGGCCACGTTGTTTGTCACAATGTGTCATTTCATTCATTCATCCAGACTTAATTTGAAGGATTCTCCTAAAGTAAATGGATACTTATCAAGGGAGTTTCCTGGAAGGTTGGATGGGATGAAATCATTGTGGTCCCTGTTTTGATGCTTGATATTTAAATGCCAAATAACGTGCAACTACACTTGGGATAGCATTGCAGAGTAGTTGCTTACAAAGTTCAAAGTTGTGCAGTTACCTGTGACTTGTGCTCCTGCAGAGCTCAGCGCCTACCATACACACATTACAATAATTTGTGTGCAATTGGTGTGCAATTGGTGTGCAATATCCTCTTAAGTCTACTTGTAGTTGCATGTTATTTGGCATATCATGGGAAATTTCAGCATTTTGATTTTCGTTTAGTCTCTTACTATTGTCTGTGTCTCTATGCTGTGCTCTCCTGTCTCTTGTTTCTCCGCTCTGGAATCTCTGCCTCTTTTACTTGCAGCCTTACAAAGCTTGCGGAGAAGCTAAAGAAAACCCTCGCCAACCCGGGGTACGCTAAACAAGTGCCAGAAGAAAAGCAGCAGAGTGACAGGTTAGGATGATCATTGATGAGATACTCTCGGCCATACCTTGTCCTCCTAGTCGTGCATTGTACCCTAGGCCGTGTGTTGTGCTGGGTTCTCCTGCTCATGGATATCAAGAACCGGCGTAGCGCCATGCATGCAAGTACACTGGGCAGCGTCCGCTTTGCAGGCTGGGTGCCTATTGATGTCAGATGTGTATTCCGAGTGCAAGACCTATAGTATAATTATTATGAATCTTGAGTTGCATTGCGAGTCACATTTGGCACAATACTGTTGCATGATACATCGGCCAATGGAGTGTGCGAACTGAAGATGTATCAGGTGTGAATTGTATCACTTCTCGCTTGAAGTACAGTCAACTTCGCTAATAACGACTGCGGATATAACGACAATTCGCGAACGTTAACGACAGAATTTCCATGCCCAGAGCAAAGTCCCATCCTACTGTAATACATGTAATGAGACTTTGGGTATAACAACCCTTCGCGAATATAGACACTTTTCTGATGCCCCGCCGAGTGTCGTTATAAGCGAAGTTGACTGTAGGATTTTGCTGTTGTTGTTTGGTGTGTTCTGTGTGTTAACACTAAGCTACAAGGTGTTCGTGGCCAAAGGTAATTATCAGACTTATTCAAAACACGTTCTGATACTATAGGCTATACGTCTGCTGAGGCAAACATGCTTCATTTCTTTCTTGTTGTTGCAGGAGACGCCTTGAGGAGACTCAGCTACACATGGTGTCCATCGAGCACTCCCTGACGCTGCTACCAAAGATACAGAAGAAGAAATGAAAGCTGTGCCACTGCTGCTAGAATTTCCATCAGGGACTAGTACCCCCCCCCCCCCCCCCCCCGGTTTCTACCAGGGCCAGGGATGAGCACGCCTTGGTTTCTACCAGGGTCCAGGGAGTCGTACCCAAAATGGTTTGGGTACAACTCCCTGGTTTCTACCAAGTGCAGATGGCTACCGCAGCTATGATGCTAGCTTGATTGCTGTCACTCCATAGTATCACGTGTGCCGGATGTTAAAAATAAAAGCACCTGCCACCCCTCACAAAGCAACAGCCAGCTCACAACGGCTCCTTCCAGTATATAATAATATAATATACTGATAGAAAGAGGCAACTCTCTAGGCATTTCGAAATCATCAATATTATAGCTATGTACCATGCAAATCAACTCCATGATACTTTGATCTTAGATTTGCCATCATTTTAGTATTACGTAATACTTAGGAAGACGAACACACTTCAGGTTCCTCAACAGCAAATTTTTGAAAATTATCCGCAAGAGAACCTAAAGCGTTCCTCTGAAAAAACTATTTTTGTATATCAAGTTTTATGATATTTCCATCTTTGATAATTTCTCATTTTGTGTGCTTGATTTCAAACAGTTTAATGGGATGATGGATGCTGTGTATGTGTATGTATTACAAGTAGCACCTTTTTGTTAGCAATGAATTGTTGAATATGACACACGGCCAGAACGTTCACAAGTCTTTGGCGTCGAAGGTTCCGGCCCTTCTACTTTGAACCAGAGTGATGATGTCTTGTCAGATCTCACTGGGATACCTGTATGTAGTAAAGGAACAAGATGGCACATAGCTGCCGACACAGTTCCTCAAACACACACTCTCCTGTCCTTGTGCTGATCCATAGAACGAATTACTAGAAAGACTTCTGCTTCTGCTGTTGCTGTGGTTCATGGCAAGAGCTGATCCAGGACCAGGGGAAACTAACCCACCAGGATGCCCGGAGACAAACGGACATACACAGGGTGCTGATTTCTGTGCTACAGCAACTGCTCTGCTCTGTTCTGCTCTGCTTTGCTCTTGGCTGTACTGTACCCGTTGCTCTTGGCTGTACTGTACCCGCTTCAGTAGTTAGTAGTTAGCACTGATCTTTACACCCAGTGTGGCCGGTGTCACACGCCTCCCTCCGGGCACTGCACATCTTCAGAGCTGCGCTTGCTTTCTCTCTGGAAGTACGTAGTGGGTGCAGGTGGTCTTGTGACGTTAGTTCAGCTGACACCATATGCACCACTCAGCACTGATGCACACGTTGCCAACATCAGCTGCTGCACTGTGATCTGCACTGCTGTTGAGCGCCAGCCCGTGCATACGGCTGTCGTGAACGAACCCGATGCTGATGCTTGAACAAGCACTCAATCCGATTTGATCCGCTCTCTGGCTGAGGCTCTGTCGTGACTTGCAATGAGTGCATGAGTACATAGCCAGCATGGGTGAGTACATGTGAGCACAACCGGCACTGTCCATGGGGCACGGCACAGCCAGGATAGAAACAATCTGACAGACTCGGGCAGACAGGAGAGGCATGGAGCAGTCCGCCGTACAAGCGCCGCCGGAACTACAGGCGGCGCACATGCCGGTGCATGAAGTGGCTCTTCAGTCCACAAACTCCGACCTCTGTGCATCCATCGGTCTGCTCACACAGGCCACAGCACGCACACTGTGCACAGTAGAGTGTTGTTGTGTTAACTGTTAAGATCACAGCCCACAGTTCACATGTCCCACGTTACGTAGCCACCCGGTTCGGATCTGTTTCGTCAAGGCTATGTTCTAGCATCCAGGGTGGTCGAGGCAAGGTCTTGGGATGAGGTAGTGTGTGTGGATCTCTTGTCAGATAGGACTCGATGTCTCGGAGCTTCGCCTCTACAGCACTGTCAGAGAAGAACACTGTGCAGTCTTCTGCTGGCGCTACTGGTTCTTGTCGGAGCTGCCAGCAACAACAGACGCACACACGCAAGCACACAAACGGAAAACACACACGGAAAACACACACTATGTACCATGTACCATATACTTGTACCATGTACCATGTATACGCCCGTCGCAAGAGAAGCACGCAAATCTGCAAATGCACTGGCGGTGCACCCACAGATTTTATCTTATGGCAACGATAGCGGACAAGATCCGAATGAAACAGATTAAGACTAGTGCCAGATAACATCCAAGCAGCGTGCACACACACACACACATACACACACCATGCCTTTGATCTTTTGACGCCCATGATAGCGATACTACAGCAGAAGCCCTAGCAACTTGTGCTGGGATTGCACCATTCAACAGCGTACAAGGCCGCCATTTTCAACACCACACTGCTATTCGAAGTGGGGTTTTCTTCTGGCCAGTTAATCCCTACCTTTTTTTGTCTTACGAGCCATGTGTCGTGTTAGGGAATGCGGGTATTGTAGACAACAGATAAGCTGAATTGAAAACGAATATTTAAGCGACGCGGAGACAATTTCAAGAAAATAGAAAAAAAGAAAATACATCATCATCATGGAGGACATAATAAACAGACCCAACTGGGTCTGTACACACCTACGGTCCTAGTACAGAACTTCGTACATCTGTACAACGTGCATAAGGACCATTGTCAGCATGCATATGCATGCAAGTACATACATACCTCTTGTTCCCACTGATTAGAACATCCGGCGCTTGGTGTATGCACGGGAGTGTTGTAGCGCTCCAGCAAGTACTGCGCAATGGCATCATCGCTTTGGCGCGAGATATCTATCCACTCAAACTCTTTCAAGTTGCATAACGATTTGCGCTGCTCGTTTGCCAAACTTCTGTAAATAATACAATAGCAATGATGTACATAAGTTAGCAACTCTTTTTAGCAAGACAGATGAGCCATGGGCAGATGGCATAGCATAAACTGCCCGTTATAAGTTTCGGATGTTGAATTTCTAGAGAGAGAGAGAGAGAGAGAGAGAGAGAGAGAGAGAGAGAGAGAGAGAGAGAGAGAGAGAGAGAGAGAGAGAGAGAGAGAGAGAGAGAGAGAGAGAGAGAGGAGAGGGAGGGAGGGAGGGAGGGAGGGAGGAGGGAGGGAGGGAGGAGGGAGGGAGGGAGGGAGGGAGGGAGGGAGGGAGGGAGGGAGGGAGGAGGGAGGGAGGGAGGGAGGGAGGGAGGGAGGGAGGGAGGGAGGAGGGAGGGAGGGAGGGAGGGAGGGAGGGAGGAGGGAGGGAGGAGGAGGAGGAGGGAGGGAGGGAGGAGGAGAGAGAGAGAGAGAGAGAGAGAGAGAGAGAGAGAGAGAGAGAGAGAGAGAGGGAAAAAGGGAGAGAGAAAGAAAGAGAGAGAGAGTTGAGTGTACTGATAACTTCAAACACCTAGGCCTAGAGAGAGGGAGAGAGGGAGAGAGAGAGGGGGAGAGAGAGAGAGAGAGAGAGAGAGAGAGAGAAGAGAGAGAGAGAGAAGGAGAGAGAGTTGAGTGTACTGATAACTTCACACACTAGGTCTACACCGCCATCACATGCCACCACCATCGCCACCACCATCGCCGCCACCACCCCCACCACCACCATCGCCACCACCACCATCGCCACCACCACCATCGCCACCGCCACCACACTCGCCACCACCCCCATCGCCACCACCACCATCGCCACCACCACCATCGCCGCCACCACCACCACCATCGCCACCACCACCATCGCCACCACCACCATCGCCACCACCCCCATCGCCACCACCACCATCGCCACCACCACCATTGCCATCACCACCACCACCACCACCATCGCCACCACCACCATCGCCACCACCACCATCGCCACCACCACCATTGCCGCCACCACCACCATCGCCACCACTACCATCGCCAACACCACCACCACCATCGCCACCACCATCGCCACCACCACCACCATCACCACCACCGCCACCACCACCTTCGCCACCACTACCATCGCCACCACCACCATCGCCACCACTACCACCACCAATACCACCACTCCACTGGTTTGTGAAGGCGGGGGGGATGTATGCACATACTATGGCGGGGTGTTCTCTTTTGCTGGAGACAGGGGTTTGGGTAAGCTGAAGAAAATTCGTTTCATTTCATAAACATTATACTTAGTTATGGATGAACCCTGAAAACTACTTCGTACTGTCATCAGCATTACCTGCAAGCCTGCTTGTAGATCCCTAGGAACTCACGAAATCGCTTGATCTGCGTTTTGCGATCCTGCAGTAAACGACAGACATGTGCAGGTACAATACGTACAAAAACGGAATGGAATGCTGCGCTCATATTGTGAAGAAAAATGCGCCTTCCATGCTGCGATCCCTGGCGGCCCCGGGTTGAGGCATGCCATATGTGTCTTGTATAGAGCCGTGCGTGCACTGTCACGTAGATCAGTGAAGTGTTTGTAGTGCTTGTAGTGCATCACACACTGATCCAATGCTTGTAGTGCATCACACACTGATCCAATGCTTGTAGTGCATCACACACTGATCCAATGCTTGCAGTGCATCACACACTGATCCAATGCTTGTAGTGCATCACACACTGATCCAATGCCCACTCTCTACAGTAGTCGGTGCTTTCTGGCATCTTGCCTGCATTGACACCATCCAATCAGCCACGCTGCACCCGGGGCATTCCCTTCGCACAAGCACACGGGTACACCAACCGACCTGGAACGGTCAGCATACGGAACAAAAAGAAATTTCAGCAGTCGCACGACTCAACAGCACCAAGCAGCGTTCTTACCGTTGGTCGATCATCTGCAAGCCAGTTATCCCGGATGTAGGGTAGTGCCTGGCGATACCCCACTGCCTTGGCCGCAATGCAGTCTTTATCCAGGCCATTCAGAACGGCCCAGTACGTCTCCTACAAGCACAGCACAGCGCAGCCCAACACACACACACAAACACACACACGTCGGGATCAGAGCAGAGTGTGACCATGGCAACATGTAAGAGTGCTCCATGCCGGTGCTGACTGACTGGTCAGCACCGGGGAGTAGTAAGATACGGCATTTTAGTACTCCCTGGTCAGTACTGCATGATGCAGAGTCCAGTCAACACAAACACAGGGTACAGTCACAAGTCACAATTCCATGCTGCATTTAGCACAACTACAATGCTGCTCAATGAAATCCGATCAAGTCACTCCAGCACGCCCAGGTGCAGCACCGCCCTAGACCTGCCAACACTGGGCTGGGAATGGTGCAGGGCGCCAACTTGACTCACGCGATCGGATTTCACTGGGCAGCACTGTGGTTCACATGACTGGTAGTGCAGGACATTGCAGGTACACTGTAGGCCACATGACTGGTGGTGCAGGTACACTGTGGGTCACATGACTGGTGGTGCAGGTAGTCAGCTGGTACAGCTGGAGAGAAGTACGTGATCACCATTGCTCGCCTCTTCCAATGCTTTGGAGACTCTGCGGCCGGGGAGGGCATGGCCATCAAGACATCGATGGTGGCTGCACAACTGCTACTACAGCAACCAGCGCGAATGGTGGACAGGCGAGACCATACCAACTGCCTAGAACGCAGACTGAGGATCTGGAGTGATGGAAATATTGATTTGCTAATGAGGGAAGCCCGCACTATCCAACAGCAGATAAAAGAGGCCTCGCTCAGATCAAGCAAAACCAACAGCACCAGGGATTATGATGATGATGCTAGGAGGTTTGCTGCCTTGGTCATGGATGGCAAGATCGGGACCTCAGCGCGTATGCTGGACAACGACAGCAGTGGTGCCCTGCATTCCCTGGACAACACCATCGGGGATCAAACGGTGCGCGAAGTATTACGTGACAAACATCCCTCTGCTGCACCCCTCCACGTAGATGCCGTTATGGATGGAGAGCCCCTGCCTCAGCCACACCCAGTGATATTCTCAGCCCTTACAAGAGATGTGATCCGCCAGGCTGCATTGAGCACCCATGGGGCGGCTGGACCTTCTGGCATGGACGCAGCCAACTGGCGGGCGATGTGTACATCCTTCCGCTCCGCCTCCGATGCCCTATGTGACGCGTTAATAGCATGTGCCAGCCGCATTGCTACCAAATTCATTGATCCCATCGCACTGGAAGCATATGTGGCCTGTCGTCTGGTGCCGTTGGACAAGAAGCCTGGTGTTCGGCCGATCGGAATAGGCGAAGTGGTCCGTCGCATTATTGGCAAGGCGATCCTCAAAGTCGTTGGACCAGCAGTGGAGAGTGCTGTTGGATGCCTACAGTAAGATCGGACGCCGAAGAACACCTCGCCGAAGAACACCCAGGCTGGAAAACCGGCAAAATTTAAGAACAGTCCAGGCTAGAATTATCAGATTTAAGAACACTTTTAAAAATTTACACGTAGATCTACATTGTACATGTATGGGAGGTGAGTACATGTCATGTACACGTGTAAACAGTAACTGCTACATGTACAGTCATTCCCATTTACGACACCCACTAGTTAAGAAGTACTACATAATACACTACATGTACATGTACATGTACATGTACATGACAAACGTCATGACGTCACTCGACTCGCCGCGCGCGTGTGAATAAGAACGGTCTGGCTAGAATCAAAAATTTAAGAACTTTCCTAGGCTGCGCTCGAGCCCCTGCGTTCTTCGGCGCCCGATCTTACTGTACAACTATGTGGAGGTCAAGCGGGTGGTGTAGAGGCTGCCATCCATGCAATCAAATCGACCTATGATGATGACGAGACGGAGGGTGTCCTATTCGCAGATGCAGCCAACGCCTTCAACTGCATCAACCGTGCAGTATGCCTGCACAATGTGCAGCGACTATGTCCGGAGCTGGCACCAGCGCTTATCAACACTTACCGGTCACCTGCTCAACTCTATGTTGGAGAAGAAGTTATTATGTCATCGGAAGGCACAACGCAGGGCGACCCCCTTGTGATGCCATTGTATGCACTAGGTACGGTGCCTCTCATCAGGGAAGCCTCAACTGCTGGCACAATACAGTCATGGTATGCAGATGATGCCACATCAGCTGGATTCCTGCGCAGGATACGTACATGGTTGTCCATCCTGATCGATCGAGGTAGCAAGTACGGTTACAACATCAATCCGTCCAAGTCGGTCCTGCTTGTCAAGCCTCGTTTCCTGGAATTGGCAAGAGAACTCTTTGCCAACACTGGGGTTGACATCAGGACGGATGGCTATCGTCATCTCGGTGCTGGTCTGGGCACAGATCAAATCTGCTCTGAGTACGTGTCCCAGAAGGTCGCATCGTGGTGCAACGAAATACACGTCTTGGCCAAGTACGCAGCATCCCAGCCTCAAGCAGCCTATGCCGTCTTCACTCATGCCCTACGGCACAAGTGGTCTTTTCTGGCCAGGACCATGCCTGCTATCGCTGATCTCCTTGTGCCCCTGGAACAAGCCATCCGCCTCATCTTTCTGCCAGCACTCACTGGTCGCCAAGCTCCGGGTGAAAGCGAGCGCACAATGCTATCGCTCCCCTGTCGCAAAGGTGGCCTGGGACTCATCATCCCCACCGGTTTATCCAGCCAGTACTCCGCCTCTGTCTCCATCACCAAACCACTAGTGGAGAGGCTACTGAAGCAGGAGGAATCCACTGAAGACGTGTTTGCTGACATCAAAGCCGCAAAGTTGGATGTACGTGTGACCGCACGCCATGATCAAGCTGTGGCCCTGTCCTCCTTCAGGGACCAGCTCAGCCTGGACGACCAAAGGATCTTGGATCTGGCTGCGGAGAAGGGCGCCTCAAGTTGGCTCACGTGTCAGCCATCTCGCCGCTTTCAATTCACAATGCCAAAGTCGGGATTTCGCGATGCCTTGTGCCTACGATACGGCTGGACCCCTCCCCGACTGCCAACCCATTGCGTCTGCGGCAAGCAGTTTGACACGACGCATGCACTGTCGTGTTCGGTTGGTGGCTTCCCTGGAATGCGGCACAATGAGATTCGCGACCTCACCGCCAATTTTCTGCAGGAAGTAGGCCACGATGTTTGTGTGGAGCCTGCACTGGAGCCCCTGTCCGGTGAAATGTTCCCTCTTCGGTCGACCAACATCGAAGACCATGCTAGGCTGGATGTGGCAGCGCGGGGGTTGTATGGGAGTAGGTTTGAGAGGACAATGTTTGATGTTCGGGTGTTCAACCCTTTTGTCCCCTCAAATCGAAACCTTACACTCCCGTCTGTCTACAGAAAGCATGAGCAGGAGAAGCGGAGGAAATATGAGCGGCGAGTTCTGGAGGTAGAGCACTCCTCCTTTGTGCCCATTGTCTTCTCCACCACTGGTGGACAGGGAAAGGCCTCATCTGCGCTGTTTGCCAGGATTGCCAGCAAACTGAGAGACAAGCGCAACGAGCCTTTTTCCGTCACCATGGCTTTCGTCCGGACCAAACTGTCCTTCAGCCTAGTGAGAGCCATGGTTGCTAGTCTGCGCGGCTACCGGCGCTCTTCAGTGCCACTTCCTGTTCACTCGGCTGTTCTGGCGGCTGCTGAGTGTTCATTGTAAGCGTATGACACAAGTACGGTTGATGTACATGGAGTTGCTTACCTCTCTTTCTTTCTTATCTTTTCTTTTCCTTCTTCTTTTTCTTTTTTCTCTTTTACGTTTACTTTATACCAGGCGTGGGCCATCCCCTGTACATAGGTGCCATCATTTTTCTTTGTTTCTTCTTGGTCAATCCGGATTCAGAATTTTTTCGTAACAATATACTACTAAAAAAAAAAGGTAGTCAGGTACACTGTAGGTCACATGACTGGTGGTGCAGGTACACTGTAGGTCACATGACTGGTGGTGCAGGACTGCAGGTACACTGTAGGTCACATCAAGAGTACATAACCCCCCAGAGTGTGCAACTCCACTATGGGTGCTGTCCCGACAGAATTTCAAGTTGACATCATTTTGATGATGCAATGCGCACTGTACACGGATTATCAGACGAATCCGGAACCTGTGGTTGACCGAAGCCGGTCGATCCTGTACAAATTATTGCAAAGGAAAACGTGTGATGCGTTGACACCCGTACACATGTTGTAAATCACTGGTGCAAGGAGCATTGCGTCATTAATAATGACGTCAACTTGAAATTCTGTCGGGACAGCAGGGTATGTGGGAGTTGCACACTCTGGGGGGTTATGTACTCTTGGTCACATGACTGCTGGTGCAGGTCCAGCTAGTACAGTAAGGGTTCAACTAGGCTGAGGCTGAACTAGCACAGGCTGAACTAGCACAGGCTGAACTAGCACAGAGAGCAGGCACAGGGAACTAACACAGGCTGAACTAGGCTGAGGCTGAACTAGCACCGGCTGAACTAGCACAGGGAGCAAGTATTAGTACAGGGAGCAAGTACAGAGAGAAAGTACAGGGAACAGGCACAGGGAACAAGCACAGGGAGCAAGCACAGGGAACAAGTACAGGGAGCCATACATGTACATGTACTATACCTCAATAAGACCAGCATAGACGATCTGTTCACAACGGTCATATAAGTGGTCTATATAATTCTTGCCGGGACGAAAGACGCAGAAGCAACGGAAGTCATAAGGACATTCTGGGGAACAAGAGAAGCAAAAAGGAAAAGAGGCAGCAGCAGCCAATATAGAAATTCAATTCTGCACTAGTACGAGGTGAATTGCTATTTCTGGACATTGTATATTTCTGGACATTTCGAGTAAAATAATTTTTCGTCGTGTGTAGAGTCAAGTCAGTCGGGTTGATGACGTTTTTTCTTGTTGTAGTTGACAGCTGGGCTGTTGTAGTTTCTCCTCGTGTCGGTGCCTTGTTGATAGCCTTTTCTTGGGAGACATTTCAACGAGTTTTGTGGTACTATGTCGCATGAGAATTTTGAATTTTGAGTAAAATAAGAAGTAATGGACGAATTGTTGGCTTCCCCATGTGCACTTCACTTCAGACGCTGTATAGTCTTGGACCTGTTAGCTGGAAGTGTGAAGAGGCCAACTGCAGTCCACCAATAGAAAAAATAACAAAAATGGTGCAGTATAGGATGCCTATTGACGCTATTTTACTTTCATGTCCAGAATTCGATAAACTGAAATTTAGGCCAAAAAATTGGCCTGTCGAAAACATCCTGCTATAAAGTCTCTGGGATCACAGCATGAGCAATTGTCACATATTTGGAAAGATGAAGGATTAGGCCATACAATAGATACAAAAAGATATGAAAAATGTAAAACACACAGCCAGTGGGCCTCTATTTTATTTTCATGTCCAGAAATTGCTATTCACCTCGTACAGTACATGCGCGTGTGGTGTGGTGGTGGTGGTGGTGGTGGTGGTGGTGTGTGTGTGTGTGTGTGTGCGCGCGCGCGCGTGTGTGTGTGTCGATTTCCAATCGAGAGGTTGCGGGTTCAATTCCCGACGATTATGGTCGCACACGTCTTTCTTCTCTTTTTCATTCTCCTAGCTCTTCTTTCATTCTCCTGGGTGGTTACCAACAGCCGGAGTATGCCGGAGTATGTGGTGTGGTGCGTATGTGTAAAAAAAGAAAAGAAAAAAGAAAAAAGAAAAATAGGGATTCACTGGCCAGAAAAAGCCACTTCAAACAGCTGTGTGGTGGATACCAGGCTAAAATTAGTGGCGGTCAATTCATCAGCCTTGCAAGCTGTTGAATGGTGTAATCCCAGCGCTATCATCGCTTCCGCGATGGGCATGTCTGAGTCTGAGTCTGAGTGCGCGCGCACGTGTGTGTGGTGTCGTGGGTGTGGATGCATGGGCGTGCACACACATGTGTGCATGCGTGAATTGCGAACGATAGATAGATACCGAAATTTTACCGGTTATACGTCGAAACCCCATACTTTTAAAATGCCACGGATTACCAGCTCAATATCAACATGATCAACAGTAGTTGAACCTTGGTGTTAACTTGTAAGTTGACTACCCCCCATTTTTTTACTCATTTTCAGTTTTTTTACCATGCGGCATCTCCCTGTTTTGTTCTATGCCTTCGTTTTAACGTCCTTTGTTATAATTTCTCCACCGCAGCTTGTAGCGCTCACAATATGAATTATTTCTGGTATCTGTGGCACTTACTGTCTCTCTCTGATTTGACTACAATAAAAAATTATATTCTGATCACTTTTTTAATTTGCCTTTTAGATTCGCAGCTAGATTCGAACACCTTTCAGGACTTCATATTGAAGAATTTCTCCAAGCTATGCAATGCAGCTCACCCAATGCTCTTCAGATACAATCGCTGCTGATTTTGCAAGCTTACGTTTGTCTCATTTAGACTTTCTTTCTGCTAAGAAGTCTGTTGGATTCGCTTGGGCCTTCAGATCTATTCGTTCTGAGTCTATTAAAGTAGTGGTGTGCACGGGCAGTCGGGCACCCGTGAGGACGTCGGGTAGACGGGTACAGAACAGAGAGACAGGGTGACAGAGAGGCACGCGCACCCAGAGAGCAACAGAGAGCACCAGAAAGTCTTTTAACCGTACAAATCAGACCAGTACCCACCTTCACGCTGATACCTGGGAGAAAATGATGACACTGGCCTGCAGAAGTTCAACAGTACCAGAGAAACACAGCCATCATGGGGTTACACTAATGAAACGCATAGTTATAACTTATAAGCCATAAATCCTCGGTCTCAACCTTTATTATAGACATAAGTAACTTTTATGCAAGAACAAGCATAACCACACATACACGGCTAATGTCAACCAGTATCGGTGTATGCAACACATGATGCAAACACAGTTCTGTAGTTCTGCAGTTCCTCACCGGCCTGTCTTGTTATAGACAATGAATGCACGCTCCATTTTCTTCCAATCTTCAAACCCCAGTGACCTGGCATAGACTGGGTCTATCGTCATGAGATGAGCATGGCTGGAGAAGGAGACAACACAGTAGGTTGGAAACGCAACAACAATTTCATCACACTCAACACATGCACAAAGAAAGCAAGAACACACAACTGTTGTCCTCTGCCGCCAATATCGGTGCGTGGCACGAGGGATGGGCAGATGGGCAATTACACCCAGCATCCATATCTCCACCATCAAGATCAGGCCACAGCTTTTCATCAATGTCTGGAGGATGACCAGACCTGGAAGATTCATTCGTGAGGTGTGACTTCTTTCCCAAGTAATGCTAGTGTTCCTGCTATGATCGAGGCACTGCAAAGATTTAGCAGCTCTTTTTTCTTCTTTTTTCTTTTTAAAAATATCAACTCGGATGGTGAGCCAACTCTGCCATTTTGTCGTACTGACCGACTGTATAAGATCTGGTTACGTTGGTGGACAGTTACTAGTAGTCATAACTCGTAACATTTTGTCCTTCTCCTTTTTCACCATTTTTTAAAAATATCCTCAATCTTCGTTCAGTCCTAGATCCTATATACATGCATTCATTGTTCAGTCGCGTCTTCATGGAGCAGCTTATACGAAGGTTAGCCAAGCCAAGTTGGCGATGCCAACGCGGAACAGCCTATAATAATAATAATAAATATAAGTAGAAAGGAAAAGGACATATGGAAACGAGTTAAGAGTAACTCTCCACCACTGTAACTAGATACTATTATACAGTCAGAAAGTGCAACAACTAGGCACAAAACTGACAGAGTACTGAGACATTCGACGTCCTGACACCTAGCTTCAACACATCTCCGTAGCGCTAACCGACAGCCTTCCGTAGCGCTAACCGACAGCCTTCCAACTTGGAAGGTTCAAGGTTATGGAAAGACCAAAGAGATGTGTTAGATGTGTTTAAGCTAGGTGTCAGGACGTCGAATGTCTCAGTACTCTGTCAGTTTTGTGCCTAGTTGTTGCACTTTCTGACTGTATAATAGTATCGAGTTACAGTGGTGGAGAGTTACTCTTAACTCGTATCCATATGTCCTTTTCCTTTCTACATTTATTTATGGCTCAACATCCGAGTTTCAATAATAAATACAATGATAGTAAGCACAACCCCTACTCAACGGGATTGCCTACATTGAACTCTACAAGCCACATCAGACACGGGAATACGTTTCAGCAGTGTCAGAAACAGCAGCCTGCACCAGTTGCATGCTACTATTCTCATGCGCACATGTGTGTCAAATCACCGTACTTGGCTCCATAGCTGCCACGCTTTCTCATCTGTTCAAAGGCGAGCTCGGCGTCTTCTTTAGTTGTTGCCGGAGAATCCGTCTGGCCGCGGAGCAACGTTCTAGCGTAGAACCAGCTGCCACCGGCAACGACAGGTATGCGTCCCTTGGCTGTGATACTCTGCAGCAACAGCAACATGACACATGACCAGACAACAAGTGGTGAGTGTGCACACCAGCCATACCCTAGACTTGCAACCCCCCGCTGTTGCTGCAAACAAAGACACACACAATCGGATGCGGTATTTGTCGATGCCCGCATCCAGCAAAAAGTGAACATACCTCTGCTACCAGCACACATCTTTAATTGACAGCATGTACACTGGCCCCTACTTCACTGACTAAGTCGTGCAAAATATGCATGCGCTCTGCAACACTGTGAACTCCAGTGCAGGCCCTTGGAGATCAACATACCGTAATGTCGCGTTTAAAAGCAGGTGCTTACGGCCGTATAAGCCGGGGTTCGAACCATGCTTCTATAAAGGTCATGCTTTTATACGCGACACTACAGTACTCCCACTGCATTCTCATCAGGCTCACACAGGCAAGTGTCTCCTAGTCCTAGGCAAACTCATTATCAGTTGCAAGACAAGCAAGCAGAATGCTCCATACCTGGGACAGAGCTTTTTCACACAGCTAGGAGAAGAAGAAAAAACTCCAAGTGTCACTTTCTTACAAAATCACCAGGCAAGGAGAGTTGCCTGGTGATCATTCATGCACTTGAAGCTTGGAGCTGCAATGGATTCTCATCTCTCCTTGCTGTGTTGCAGTTGTGAAAAGTGCAAAAGCGATGTTTTCACCCCGTAATTTTTAAAGTTGGCCTGACCTCAGCCTTCAAGGAAGGAAAAAAAAGATAACTCCTTACAATTGCTGAACCTGGGCAAAAGCTGTACTCCTGCCGTATCGGCAAAAGAAAACAGTATTCCACATTATGACTAGTGCTCATGCTCCTTATACATGTACCGTAAAGTACCGTCGATCCCCCCACGCCATGTCGTTTCCCAGCTGGGTTTTCGGCAAGGGGCGGGAATTAGACCAAGGCTGTCAAGTGCAGTACGATGTACAACAGCGTTGAAGTTCAGACTCGATGTGCTGGATTGAGCACATTTTCATCCTGCACTCGTACGTATTGTGTACAGCAGTGCATGCGTCGGTTCAACACCGTATTTCGGTGTATACGCCGAAGTTGCTTCACAGGCAGAAAACCGACAGGGGGCGGCAATTAGAGAGGGGGTGGATCAACGGTACTTTACGGTAATAGCTGCATAAACTCATAGCAATCCGGATGCGCATGCAACTGAACTCAGACTAACCTCGATAGCTTCATGCGCTATCTCTACCCAAGTGCCAACCGACACCGGCCACTCGAAATCCAAGTCGGCCACGTCGATGGCATGGTGTGGCACTCGGGCGCGCACCTCGTCCGACACCTTGTCAGAGCCGATGTCCAAACCGCGGTAGACCTGGAGAGACCACATCGTTCATGCATGCACAGGCGCAGCAGGTATGATTCAAACCTGCTACAGTGTTGGTCGTACCGGTGGTAAATGAAATCCAACGTCACGAGCACAGCAAAGCATAACCCAGTGCACATAGCAAATGTTCAGGCTGTGCAGCCCTACAGACTTTATTTCTCATGAGGTTGGATTTCACGTACCACCCACTGCCATAATTTAAAACACCTGTCACCAAGGACGACTTGATCTGCTACCTACTGAAGTGCAGGACGTGTGTGATTGCAGTTCTGGCCAGTGAAAAAACATGCCCATCACGGATATCAACCAACACCAGGTACGTACGTTGCAGGACTAGCAGAGCAAACGCCGGACTGCAACTGAAGACCCACTGGTCTATTTGCCTTGGCTGCTTTTCACGGCCAGAATCAAAGAGAGCTTGCAGCGAGGAGTGACGTTTCAGAGCAATACATGTCCAGCCTTGTATCCTGGTAGTTCGGCTTACTCGCTGTCTACAGCATTGAGTGTCTAGTCTGGTATTCACTTCCATGGTCAATATACCAAGAGGAAGAATCCAGTCAAAGGCATCTTATCTGCTGCTGAGTTCCATACCAAAGACACCATCTGGCAAGGTGGATTCACAGCGAGCTTGAAACATTTTGAAAAGTATAATTATCTGGATACACAATCATTTTCTAGTAGCCGAAACGCAGTTATACTTCGCAAAGCAATCAACTTCTGGCTCTTGAAATCAGCATCACACAACTACCTTCACTGACAGTGCATCGCATGGATATAGGCAACGGGGAAGCCATATATCAAGTACACAACATGAGGTGACAGAATCAGCAACAAAGGCGTAGACAAATCACAAGAAGAGAACGTGCCATACACCGTACAGAGAGAACTACCAGTACATTCGCGCTAGGTGAAACCAGGCCCAAAGTGCAAAGCCGGCGAGCTAGAATCGGCTGTTTACGTACATACCTACCAGTACACACCTCACGCACTTTCTGCATGCATAACAGCCTGCAAGAGTTTGCATGTGCCCAGCAGTATTCACACAGTTCCAGGGCGCCAAGGGCTGCGCAAGATCTGGGTAGCAAAGATGGCCTCAGCGTTGGGTTTCACCAAGCTTGCAAGCGCAATTTTACTTTGACGTAAACTTTTCAACACAGTCTATTTACATTAAAGTCGTCAGGAAGATCAGCGCCACATCGTTAGTGACGTTTCTGCTGCTTTGCTGTCATATTGACATTGCTGGTGCTGTTTCTGCTGCTTTGCTGTCATATTGACATTGCTGGTGATGTTTCTGCTGTTCTGCACTTACGTTGTTAGTGATGTTTCTGCTGTTCTGAAACAGCCTGTTCTCATCTTTAAGCTGGAGTGGTGCACCCGGGCTTTTTTTCGGTATCCGACAGTACTGCAAGCGATGAATCACATTATTCCCACTGTGTGAAAAAGCGCCCGTTCAGTCAAAGTAATGGTGATCGTCAAGAGCCTGAAGTTGATGCGGTAGGCGAGTGTACAATTCGACACAACCTGTGACCTAATCAAGTGATTACCAGTACGAGTAGCACGTTAGTAGATGAACTTGAAGGAATACATGGTACCAAGAGTACATAACCCCACGAGTGTGCACCTCCCCCATACCCGCTGTCCTGACAGAATTTCAAATTGATGTCATTTTTTATAACGCAATGCTCCTTGCACCAGTGATTTACATGTGTATGGGATGTCAATGCATCATACGTTTTTCTTTTCACTAGTAGAGTAGTGCACAGGATGAACTGGGGCATTGTCCACCACAGGCTCAGGATACGTCTGATAATCCGTGTACAGTGTGCATTGCATCATAAAAATGACGTCAAATTGAAAATCTGTCAAGACAGACAGCACCTGTAGTCGAGTTGCACACTCTTGGGGGGGGGGGGGGTATGTACTCTTGATGGCACGCGATCATGATCCGTACCTGTACTGCATCGGCAGAGATGATTTCAATGTCTGTAAACCGAGCCAAGTCCAGGGATACACCAGTTTTTCCCACTGCAGTCGGTCCAGTGATGACCAACACTGCACAATGAGACAGGAAGACCGGCAGACACACACGCGACCAATTACAATTAGCTTGTGGGGACGTGCATGCACGCGCGCGCGTGTGTGTGCGTGGTGTGTGTGTGCGAGCATACATTTCTGCCGTGCATCAATCGATGTGCTGCCATCAGCGGTCTGAACAAAAATCAATCTTTGATGTCATTTGATGTCAGTACATGTATTTTCTGTCAAGTCCAGTATGCATGCACAGAATGCCCTGTACTGTTACGTTCGTGACTCCAGACACTGTCCTGCGGCTGATTCAATATTTTGAACATTTTACTCGTATTGGCCTCACATACATGTACATTGAATAGTATTCAAAATCATGCCTGCACTGTATGTCTGTTTTGTGTGTGTTCATTTATTTGCTTGTATGTTTGGGTGTGTAGGACGCAGTCTAAAGACTAAGTCGACTCCGGAATGCACCGTGCAGTGCCCTCATAAAAAACTATAATAATGCTCTTATCCATTCCCTCAAACTTGTGAATACCGTAGAATCCCGCGGATAAGCCCACCCGCGTATAAGCCCATGCCCGCGCATAAGCCCAGGGAAAGTTCGAACATCACAAGGCTTCGTCGTACAAGCCCATGGGCCTAAATTGTACCATGAGCCCATAAATGATGGACTCATGGTCACACCATGTACATGTATGATGTACGTAGCACAAGTGTTTAGGGTTTTTTTTAGTGGTGAAACGAAGATCAAAACCCAGTAGCCGAATATTCTTCGGCTTAACGAAAGAACGAACGAATATTCTTTCGTTAACAAGGATGACATCACATGCCCTCCTCTCAGTCATTTTATTGGATATTGTCACTATTATTAGGCATGACGAACGAAGGCATATATTTCTCCATCATTTCTAGGTCATTTTTCACAAAAATCCCCAGCTGAAGTGCCTTTCACAGGCTCAAAAAACAGCTTGAGCTTGAGACGTGATTTCGTTCGAGCGCCATACCTCCCCTCCAGGACCTCGGATTGCGTTCGGGTGGCTTCTAAACAGCTGAGAGTTTGCTAATGCCGATAGATAGTGGTGAAACGAATATACCGAATGTTCGAATATTCGTTCGGTTTGACACATTCGAACGAATATTTCTCATGGCGAATATTCGTGAACCCGGTATGCACTAATAATGCAGAATCAACCGGGCGACTTCAAACTTTCGTAACTTCGTGAATACTTGACCGAATCGCTTCATTGAAAGATCTATCGGCATTAGCAAACTCTCAGCTGTTGTTTAGAAGCCACCCGAACACAATCCGAGGTCCTGGAGGGGAGGTATGGCGCTCGAACGAAATCACGTCTCAAGCTCAAGCTGTTTTTTGAGCCTGTGAAAGGCACTTCAGCTGGGGATTTTTGTGAAAAATGACCTAGAAATGATGGAGAAATATATGCCTTCATTCGTCATGCCTAATAATAGTGACAATATCCAATAAAATGACTGAGCGGAGGGCATGTGATGTCATCCTTGTTAACGAAAGAATATTCGTTCGTTCGTTCGTTCGTTAAGGGGCCGTCCGTAATTATCGAACGTTTTTCACCAAACGAATTATTTTAGTTTAGACCCAACCCCTCCCTCCCTCCCCTCAGAACGTAAAAAAAGTTTGACATATGCATGCATAATACAACAAAAGTTGCAAGTGTGTAACTGCTCCTATGGCCATGCACATGTATCAATGTTTTCTGAAACGAAATTGGTCAACCCCCTCCCACCCCATAACGAAATTATTTCGTTTTGTGAAAAAAGTTCGATAATTATGGACGACCCCTAAGCCGAAGAATATTCGGCTACTGGGTTTTGATATTCGTTTCACAACTACCGATAGATCTTTCAATGAAGCGATTCGGTCAAGTATTCACGAAGTTACGAAAGTTTGAAGTCGCCCGGTTGATTCTGCATACCGGGTTAACGAATATTTGCCATGAGAAATATTCGTTCGAATGTGTCAAACCGAACGAATATTCGAACATTCGGTATATTCGTTTCACCACTAGTTTTTTTTTGTACATTTCAACACAATCATCGGTTGTTTTTGTTTGCACAGTGGCTTTCAGCAATGTACTTCTCACTTCCTTGGTACTTTTCAATAGCACAATGTTGGTGTCAGCGTATAAGCCCATGCCCGCGTATATGCCCATGTTCTTGTATAAGCCCACCGAAATGTCCTTGTGAAACAGATAAGCCCATGGGCTTATCCGCGGGATTCTACGGTATGTAATGCTCTTCTACGTTGATTTTTGCAATACGCAAAAAAATGTTCTCAGAGACAAAAATGCTAGAACACTAAGAAAGAGCACCAACATTTAGTAACTTGTGCTCTTTCTTAGTGCACTTTATATATTCCCCATCTATTGCAGTATAGTTATAACAGTTACCTTTTGTCTTTCCCTCAGGATTCTTAGTGGACAAACTCCTGAGGTGAGTTGACAACCATTTGACCGGCGATCGGCGGCAGTCAAATCTCGTGCAGCGCGGTCTAATCAGAGCCATATCTACCCTTTCTACTAGAACTGATTACCAGTAGGCTTCAACCCATGATTTATGGAGAGAGCCGAGCCTCAGGCAGGCAAACATAATATTAATAATAAGCCAGCAAGAGTCGTATGCAAGAGCACGGTCGTAGAGGCTAAAAGTACAAGCATTATTTTCTCAAACAAGAATTCAAACAAAAAATCTATAATGATCATACATGTATGCGCAAAAAGCAGAAGAAAACCGGATGCATTACGTAATCATCGGTATCGTCACGATCACTGGGAATCCCCAGAGAACTTGAGAGTAGAGTGCGTGCTAGCATCATGCCTTCCTTGATCACCGACATCAGTCTGTTAATTCTGCGCTGCATGATATCTGAACAGTTATTTCATCTCTTCATGCAAGACCTGAAAAGTCACAACTACTATTATTATTACACAAGGCCTGTCGAGTCTCTCGGTCTTGGAGCTTCTTCCTTTGTACTTATAGTTATAGTGAGCAGAACAAGTGCTCTCCACACTCTTGGCAGTCCAACTTTTACACACACACACACATACACACACACGCCACATATTCATTCATACTAAACAGCTCAGTGGCTTCAAGGCAGCATTATCTGGGTTAGAAACTGAAAACAAGATACCTAAAAGAGCTAAGTGCGAGCAAGACACTAAAAATATAACACAGCCCCTAGCATGATTTTTCACAAGCTGCAGGATATGATAACGACACAAAGTACAAATCTTTATTTAAATGAGAAATACTCCAAACAGAGGAAACATAGTCCCATACGAAGTGCAACAACGATTTCCAGATTGGACACAGTAATGTTATGTCCTCAAGGGTACATCACAGGACGTAGATCATACCAAGCAATTAGCACAGAGTAAGGAAAACAGAGGACGGTGACACGTGAAATATTCCGACGGTGAGATAGGGACAGACAGCATTCCACAATACTTTGTTGCGCAACACAACGCAAAATAAAATAATCCAGAGATAAACGCCGGTCTCAATCAACCAAGTCATTCTGCACGAAGTATCCTGGGTGCAGCTTCTGGAAGTCCGCCATTCGGATTGGCCGCAGCTCACCCTCGATAGTATCGCCTGAGTCATCGCCACCATCATCATCATCATCATCATCATCATCAGCAATGCTTAAGCCCGAGCCAGCAGACTGCGCCACGAGCTCCCTGACTGGCTCCATGGCGACACGCCGACACATTTCCTTCAAGTCGGCGCCGCTCTTGGCAACCGTGACCCGGGCAAGAAAATCCAGGTCAACGTCGTCGGCCAAGTCCTCATCGCGCAGTATGACCCTGAGGATGGCAGCCCGCTGTTCCGTCGTCGGCAGGGGGATGTGGAACTGCAACTGCAAGCGCCGCAAGATGGCTTCGTCAATGTCCTGCGGTCGGTTGGTGGCACCGAGGATGATGATTTGCTCGGTGGGATCAGTCAGGAGGCCATCACACAGCGACATGAACTGGCCTTTGAGATTACCAGAGGACTCATGATCGCCGGGTCGCCGCGCACGAAGCAATAGGTCAATCTCATCGATGAAGATGATAGAAGGCTGAAGTTTGCGCGCAAGGCTGAACACTGCGGCAGTCAGTTTTTCCGTCTCACCATGCCATAAGTCCAGGATGGTTGACGTCTGCAGGTTAAGAAAGCAGATGCCTTCTTCAGCCGCCACCGCCTTTGCCAGCATAGTCTTACCACAGCCAGGAGGTCCATGCAGCAGTATGCCTTTCGGTGGCTCAAGAAGGTGCGATCTTTCAAACAGATGTCTATGTTTCAAAGGCCAGAGAATGGCCTCGCGCAGCGACCGTGCCACATCATTCAGGCCACCAATGTCGGCCCAAGTTACTCGTAGATCAGCTGGATTGACCAGATCGCAAGCGACTTGCATTTCCTGGTTGCTCAGCTTCACCTTTGAGCGGCCGAGCGCCTTCAGAATACCGGCCACATGCTGAGCTACCTGCTTAGCTCGCTTCGTTGTTGGATCCATTATGTCCACCAGGTACTTTGCAACATATATGGCTGCGAGCAAGCCAGAGATCATGGTTAGACTGCTGGCGACCAGCGAGCCCGTATCACCCAAGCCCCGCATGTTTGCTAACAACAAGACACAGCCACTCAGTGCTTCAACCTCCTCCTGCTGATCATCCGCAGCTACTGACTAAAAATTTCTCCAACGAATGGTTTTCTGCCCATGAGACACCAGGAATGTTGCCAAGGCGGAAATTAGACGAATCAACTCATCATGAAGTTTTCATACAATGAACATAAAGAGAAAATGAGCACAGACAAGCAGTTATTCGTTCGGAGAAAGTTCTTCTATTCTATCAACAAGGATATAGAAATCTTTCAGCACCAGGCATGCACCATCACGTCAATGTTTCTTTGATTTTGAAAACACATGAATAAAATAATGGGAGAACACACAAAATAGTGATGTCATTCTAGCTTTCACAATTAAATTTTGTATCCTAGCAACTAAGTGCCATGCAATGAACGCGTGCTGGATCAGCAGGTACTAGGTACACGTGACCATGGCATCGGTAAATGCATAAACGTGACTGAGCGAAGTACGTCATGATGTACAGCTCGATATCGATGTCAACACGAGCGTGAAAAGAGAAAAGGCGCAAACCTTCACCATGCATGTGCCCATTGTGCGTTCACGTACAGTTCTGCGTGTAGATCTACGTGTACGTGTGCAGTGTGCGGCTTACCGCGCCGTATAGGCGGTGAGAAAGTGAGAAATCTACGAGTACGAGTACGAGTGGTAGCTGTTTGCGCAAGTAACACGTTACCATGGTTACTGTCGTTAGTTGTGGCTTATCGGACAACGCTGCGCATGCGCGCAGACGTCTAGCGATACACACTGTCGTTGTCAGCGCACTGCTTGTCCTCGTGCTCCATCGAGTTGCGCTTGCGATCGACCATGCACGAAGGCCGTGAACACTGCTCTTGCTGATCAGTGAACTGGGCCGAGCTAGAGATTTGACCTCTTCAGGCTCTTGTCTTTGAGCAAAGACAGTGTTCAGGCGAAAAATTCTCCCTGCTTTTGCCAAAGTTGAAAAGGAATTTCCAGTTATCCGTGTAGATAGATCTACCACGTTCACTGTACCAGTGATCACCCACATTGTGAGGTCAAGAAGAGCTTGTTCCAGGATACCTGAGTGCGTAGTGTTGTACAGCTAGTCGTGCTCATCTCGTGGTGTTTGGACAGAACATGATTCACTCTGCCTGAAGAGATTGGAATTTACGCAGTGGCATTTGAGATATGCCATCAGTGGATTTGTGCTCTGAAGTACCTTTCCTGAAGCGGCATTGAACAGTCATGAGTACCAATCACAACTTTGGAAATGTTCCCAGCGCGAGCTTGGGCACGCAGATGAAAATCCAGTTGCTGGAATCTTCCCTATCCAAATTATTCGAGTGTTTAGCTTTGGAATGCAGGTAGGTTTGCTGCTGGACCTCACCAGTCAGTATGTGCGGAATTAATTTCACAGATTTTCAAAGTCTAACTTCAAAGCCAAATCGCTATGAGTTTTAAAATGTCCTAACCGATTTTCATGAGTCCTTCAGGGAAGTACATGTACGTCTTAACAATGATAACTAGCCTTTAGTACCAATAATAAGTATACTCAGTACCGTATTCACGCGCATAAAAGGCACGCACTTATATCCGAATACAAGGGCACCTCCACATATAAAGGCATGAACAAAAACTCAAGACCCAAGAGTGCATTTTGAAGACTTGAACACTCGTGTTGGAAGACGTGCCCTTATATCTGGAACATTTGTCTGTCCCCGGGGAAAATCGCGGAAAGAAATCCCAGAATTTGCGGTGTAATTTGCGGGTTAATATGGCATAAATTACGGTGAATTTGCGGTAAATATGCGGTGAATATTATTGATATGCGGCAAGTTTGCAGTTGATATGAGGCAATTTTCAGTATGTAGTGAAATCAATCAGTTACAAGTCTCTGGTGTAAGCGCTCGTCATATTTGAGTACAAAGCCGCCACGATGAGACGTTGCTGACCGAACAGTGCACTGTGTGTACGTGTAGTGGGTGAATATTATTGATATGCGGCAAGTTTGCAGTTGATATGAGGCAATTTTCAGTGAGTATGTAGTGAAATCAATCAGTTACAAGTCTCTGGTGTAAGCGCTCGTCATATTTGAGTACAAAGCCGCCATGATGAGACGTTGCTGACCGAACAGTGCACTGTGTGTACATGTAGTGCAACACAAAAGTTCAAAAAGCGGGGAAATCGCGGAAAACGCGGTCTTTTAAAAAAACGCGGGGGGGGGGAACACGGCCGCGGAATCGCGATTTCCCCCGGGGACAGATTTGTTTCCTGGTGAAATGGAAAAACACATTTTTTTCGCATACAGGGGCATGCACTTGTATGTGGACGAATTCGGTACGTATGGGGGGGGGGGGGGGGGGGGGGGGACGTACGGGGTTATGGTGATCAGAGTTACAGCAGTCATGAATTAGACATACATGACATTCCATTCATGTACTGAATCTTGTGTTTTCATATTGCCCTGTCTCTGTTCCCATCATTCAGCTGCCGAAAGCTTGTCCATCCACAATGGAAGCATTTCAAGAGCATGAAGCTGACATGGGAAGATCGTATACGTCTCAACAATGCGCTGTGGAGATGCTGGCATATCCAATGTGAGTTATAATGTTGTGTGGTACATTGCGTATTTGTGTGTGTGTGTGTAAGTGTGTGTGTGTGTGTGTGTGTGTGTGTGTAGAAATGTTGGTGTGTAAGGATGTAAGTGTGTGTGTGAGAGAGAGAGAGTGTGTTTGTGTCTGTGTATGTCTGTGTGTGCACGCATATGTTTTTGTGTCGTTGGTAAGGTAATTCCGATTTCACTTCAAGGTACCTGATCATCCAGTGTCTGCTGTCATTAAATTAAAGTGGCATGCTATCTAGACTGGTTGCCCAGCAAGTGAAGGGGGTTCAAAGGTCTTGGCTCTTTTATTTCGATATACTCATGTCGCATAGACCAGGAGTGCATCGGGGTTGATCCACGTGGCCAGTTATGTGGATTAGGTACTTATCTGGCACAAGTCTTGATCTGTTTCATTGGGATCTTGTCTGCTATTGGTGCCATAAGAGAAACAGCACGATTCTCGCACTGCAAGCCTAACATTTGCAGGCAGAAGCAAAACATTGCACTGCTGTGTTTGTTCAAGTCACACCTTACTCCTCTTTGTGGTGTGTGTGAATAGTGCTGTTTGTTTTCATTTGGGTCACGTGCTGTTCTTCGCACACTTTCTGCTGGCTCCCACCTTGATGCTGCTCAACACCTGTAGTAGCTTTATCTTCTCCTACCATCAGCCGCTTCACTCACTCTGTTTACTCATCTACCAAATAAGTCACTGATGAATTCTGGAGACTAACATTTCAATCAAAAAGAATCGGGTGTCCATTGGTTGTGGATTAGTTGTGTTTCTTTCGATTATTGCCGTCTTGTCTCCGACTAGAATATTTTGACTGTATTTTCAAGTTTTTTGCAAGATGGGAATGAAAATTGAAGATGTCTCATTGTGCATACATGTGTCTAGCTAATTGTTTTCCTTGGGTCATTTTCACTTTTGAACAAAATTAGAGAAGGCTTATGAAAGGTTAATTTATCACGGATCATCACTGTTCCATCACCAGGAAAGATTTGCGAATTGGCGGTGTCGTGCATTGTTACCAGGAATTAAACTGTCGTTTGCATGCCTCCTGTGCTGCTGCTGCTCTGCAGATCTGAAAGGCAAGAGGCCCAAGTTTTGCGGCTATGTGACGCCGATGACGGGAGAGAGTCACACGCACTCGCGCGCTGTCATCCTGGAGGGCAAGTACTGGCGTCGGCGCTTGGAGGCTGTGGCTAACGAGTACAAGAACTGGCGTGTGTTCTACAAAAAGCGTGCCAAGCACAGCTTCATCAAAACATCGTCATCCAGCGAGAGCATCCAAGCCAACGACCCGAATTCACTAGCTAGCGGCGGGGCGGCTGGCAGGAGCGTGAAATTGGAGGCGTACGATAGCACTCAGCAGGCGGATGCAGATGTGGCGCTTTGGAATCATGTGCTGGATGAGCATGACACCATGCAGATGATTTCCTCCTATTCCGACACGCTCTTCTCCTCGCTCGTCCAGGGTCACCCTTCGCGTATAGGTCAGTTGGAAGGTGTGTGTGTGTGTGTGTGTGTGTGTGTGTGTGTGTGTGTGTGTGTGTGTCTGTTGGCTCTGGGTTCCCAGTACCCAGTTACCGAGGCTGGTTAAAGTAACTCCGATTTCACTTCAAGGTACCAGTGCATCTAGTGTCTGCTTCTATCAAAGCAGCATGCTGTCTATACTGGTTACCCCAGCATGTGTATGGTGTGCATGGGTCTTGGCCGTTTTATGCCGATGTACTCTGTGTGGTGTAGACCAGGAGTGCATTGGTGGTCGATTCACTTGCCTTCGCCAGTTCTGCGGATTAGACAGTTTTCTGGCGCAAGTCTTGATCTGTCTCATTCAGATCTTGTTCGCTATCGTTGCTATAAGAGAAAATCTGTGGGTGCACATCCAGTACATGTCATTTGTAGATGTGTGTGCTTCTCTTGCGACGGGCATATACATGGTACATGGTGTGTGTGTATGTTTGTGTGTGTATGTGTGTTCGTGTTTTGTGTGTGCGTGTGTGTGTGTGTGTTCATTTCACAATGCCCAGAGATATTTAGCATACACACATGTACTTTGAAGTATGGGGAAACAACATGCCATATATGGGCAGATGAAACTTGAAAATATGTGGGTTTCGCTCACGGGCTGTCTGTTCTGAGACTGTATTATTGTCCAGGATAACTATATGCTCCCCCGACAACCAGAGACCCACTAAATACAATTGGGCCTCTGGTTGTTGGGGAAGCATAGTTATCCTGGACAATAATACCGTCTCACTTCTGGCAGCGGCTAGATCCAACGCGCTCTCTCTCTCTCTCTCTATCTCTCTCTCCTCTCTATCTATCTATCTATCTATCTCACTCTGCCTCTCTCTCTTGCTCTATTCTCTATCCATGCACGCTGTGTGGTACAGATGACAATGGAGGGTTTGCTGATGTAATTCAGCCCCGACTGAATATGGTACAACATAGTCTTTACGACGTGATGCCACTAATGGGCTCATTTGATGTAGTAGCACCATCAAGTCGTAAGTGTCTGTTTGTTGTCATGATGCAGATGAATAACGGCCTATTCTTGATCCCGTTGCTCCCATTGCTTGGACATCCCTCTTAGAATTGTATAGAGTGGCATTCAACCATGAAAGATCATGCTCACTCTCAGAGATGATTGTGAACTTGCTGGAACAACCTATTGGGTGGTGACGTGGTGCTTTATTGATTTCATGGCATGCAGATAGGTTCCGTTCGTTCGTTCGTTCTATGCCAGCTGGCAGCCAATGTATAGACTAGATAGATCACGGTCCTTACCGGATGGGGTAGGGTGGGGGGTGGTATCTAACTCACACACAACCAAGGCAACCTACTAGTACTACTTTAGCCAGCTTCTGCTGTGGGCATGTGCTACATAGTCCGTATGTGACTGCTGCTGTTGGCTTGGTGTGCTGCAAAAGTGGACTCCAGTGAAGCCATGAAGTCGGTGATGAGTGGTGAGATGTGGCAGAACCCTACACCGTCACCTGTTATGCAGCAGCCACGGCCAACCAGTAAGTCCTGCCACTGGGGCAGTCCTTCTCCAAGCATCTACTGTGTCTGTCGCCTCACTGTACATGTACCGGTACAGCTGTGATAGCCTACACCGCAACGCCGCAACACCACTGCTTACGTACTGTGTAGAGCTCTCTCTCTCTCTCTCTCTCTCTCTCTCTCTCTCTTGCTCTTGCTCTTGCTCTCTCTCTCTCTCTCTCTCTCTCTCTTGCTCTCTCTCTATCTATCTATCTCTCCCTCTCTCTCTCTATCTATCTCTCTCTCCTTCTCTCTCTCTCTTCTTCTCTCTCTCTCTCTCTGTCTCTCTCTCTCTCTCTCATAACTTTTAAAAGATATTGGTGAGTCTCTCTCTCTCTCTCTCTCTCTCTCTCTCTCTCTCTCTCTCTCTCTCTCTCTCTCTCTCTCTCTCTCTCTCCCCCCCCCCCTCTCTCTCTCTCTCTCTCTCTCTCTCTCTCTCCCCCCCCCCCCTCTCCCTCTCTCTCTCTCTCTCTCTCTCTCTCTCTCTCTCTCTCTCTCTAATCTCCTGTTCGCAGTGCTAGTTCGTAGCACATCAGTATCTATCACCAATCAGGTGTCTGAGTAACTGGCCATCAGTGCCGCACAGCAATTATGTCCAAGGCACACCATTGTGTGTTAAACGCATCCTGAGGTCTGTTGCACCATCCGTATGAGCCTGCTGATGATGCAGACTTGCTCTCTCTTGTTCACAGGAACTGTGTTTGTGTCTGTTTTGTTCTGCTTTCCGTTCCAGTACCGATGCAGCCGCTCGCTATGGAACAGCAACAAGTTCATCAGCCCATGGATACGTCATCCTCACCTATGGGACCTCCATCAGCCCGCTCAGGTATGATTACGTGTGTGTGTGTGGCCTACCACCTTTGTTGGTTTCAGGGTTCATATACTTTCTATTTGAAGTATACATACCTGCTAACCATGGACTGCTTCTGGCTAGATTAACTCTTGTGTAATCAATGGTGCTAGTGAAGCGTATATAAGATCCACTCTGATTTAGCCACCCACACTAGTAGCAAGTATTACCTTCACTGGGGCAGGGGTGACTGCAGTTGGATCCCGGGACGGATACCCTGATGCCGTCAATCCAATAGTTTGGTAGTAGGTACATAATTGTGTGACCTGCAAAGTGGCATGTATCATGTAGCCCTGCCTTTCCCTTCTTCACAAGTCATTGGTGATAACTTACTTTTCAGAAAACGCACCCATCGTATACATAGGAGAAATAACTGGCCGACTGATGAATAGTAAATGACTGGTGCATGCAGTTTCAATGATGATTGATTCATATGCTTGCATGTCACATGATGTGTGTGGGTGGGTGTGTATGGTCCAAAGGTATGTGCAACGATTTCCAATCGAGAGGTTGTGGGTTCGATATCCGACGATTATGGTCACGCGCGTCTTTCTTCTCTTTCTCAGACTCCTCCTGACTTTTCTTTCATTCTCCTGGGTGGTTACCAACAGCCAGTGCATGCCGGAGTATGTGGTGTGATGTGTGTGCGGGAAAAAAATGAAAATAGACCAAAAAGTAGGGATTCACTGGCCAGAAAGTCACTTCATAGCTGTGTGGTGTAGACCAGGCTGAATAGTGGCGGTCAATTCTTCAGCCTTGCTAGCTGTTGTATGGTGCAATCCCAGCACAAGTTGCTATGGCTTCTGCTGTAGCATCGCTATCATCGCCTCCGGCGATGGGCGTCAAATGGTCAACTGGTGTGTGTGTGTGTGTGTGTGTGTGTGTGTGTGTGTGTGTGTGTGTGTGTGTGTGTGTGTGTGATGTGTGTGATGTGTGTGATGTGTGTGATGTGTGTGATGTGTGTGATGTGTGTGTGTGTGTGTGTGTGTGTGTGTGTGTGATGTGTGTGTGATGTGTGTGATGTGTGTGTGTGTGTGTGATGTGTGTGTGTGTGTGTGTGATGTGTGTGTGATGTGTGTGTGATGTGTGTGATGTGTGTGTGTGTGTGTGTGTGTGTGTGTGTGTGATGTGTGTGTATTTGGGGCTGTATGTGTGCATATTCCCTCAGCAGCGGCGGCAGCAGCAGCCGCGGCCAGCTCTGCCCTGTCTGTGGGACCCTCAGCAAGCGGCAGCAGCATAGCGAGTAACGTAACGGACGCTGCGGCCATGTCGGATGCTCACATGGCCGCACAGCAGCTCCTACTGCTCATGAGTTCCAACAAAGAAGTGGACTCTGGCACTCTGAAGCAGTTACAGATGCTGCTGCAGTCGGCCGCCACTGCACCGCCCGTGAACCCGCCACAGGTTGCAACAACCTCGTCGCTGCCGCCACAGCAGCAGCAGCAGCCACAGCAAACGCAGTATACACAGCAGACGCAGCACATATCCCCGATGCAGCCACGGCCACCACGCACTATGTCCCCAGCAGCGGCGCCACCCCCACCACTGACTCCTGTGCAAAGCTTGCATGCAACGTCGCCACACATCTCTATGGCGACGACGGCTGAAACAGTAGGTTCCTCTGGTGTTCTGTATTTCAAACATTCATTCTCCTGCTCGGGCTCAAGTTTGGAACATGATTGGTTCATTCTGCTGTAGAGAGTGAAGTCGGGAAGTGCATCTTTGTGATTGCGACCACCTCGGACATCCATTACTATGCACTCGATTTTTGCTACTTAGCAGCCTTGGGCCTGTGTCAGAATATTTGCGTGTCAGTGGACAGATCAGCTGTTTTCACTGACCTTGGTGTTTATGTCTTTTGCTGTCGCAGTCTCGTTCTCTGGACACATTCGCATCACAAGTATCTCAACTATCTGGAGCATCCCTAGCAGGTAGGTGTGCCTGCCTGCCTGGTTGGCCAGGCTGGCCTGAGTGCCGGTAACTATAGTACACTGTCTGTAGTGCAGTGATTCTGAGCATTGTAGCCCAGTCATTATAGTACTCATCTCTACTGCTGCTCTCCATCTCTGTTGGCCTTTTTGCACATGCACTCATGCTCATGCACACGCACACATACATGTACGTACATACATACATACATACATACATACATACATACATACATACATACATACATACATACACACATACACACATACATATTTATACACACATGCACGCACGCGCACACCCACGCACAGAAAGAGACCAAGAATTCAGAGTGTGCGTGGTTTTCGTGGTGCTTGCGTTGCAGTGATGCTGTGTGTCTGTGTGTGTTGTTATCAAAGGTGGCGAAGTGTGACTTCACACCCTTCACTGATAAATGTTTCTTTTTTCATCTAATCTTCTTCTACTACAGCAGCACCGTCGTTGCTTTCGTCCGCCACTCCTCAACCTGGCAGTGCATTCTTTGGGACTAGCACAGCGGGCAGTGCCAGCTACGATGTTGCAACAGCACATCAAGTCCCGTCACCAAACAGCGTCGCAGACCAGGTAGGGATGTGTGTGTGCAGCTCCTTGCCGTCTTACAACCGGATTGTGACTGGTGTATTGTTGTATGCTGCTAGGGTTCTCTCTCTCTCTCTCTCTCCTCCGGCTCTCTCTCCTCTGGCTCCCTCCGGCTCTCTCTCTCTCTCTTTCTCTCTCTCTTTCTCTTTCTCTCTCTCTTTCTCTCTCTCTCTCTCTCTCTCTCTCTCTCTCTCTCTCTCTCTTCGCCATGCATACACACACACACACGCTTTTTGTTTGTTTGTCTATCTGTCACTGGGTGTACTGTGTGAGAGTATAAACTACTTTTGACACATGGTTTTACTGTCAGCTGTTGGCTTCTATGTACAAGTACACTCATACCTCGTTTATCCGGGCGGTTCGGGTCCGGGCACTGCTCGTATCTTCGAATGCCCGTAACTCCGAATCACATACATTTTGATGGAGAAAGGCCATAGATGTGACATGTGACATCACTATTTCCACGAGCAGTGACGAAAGAGTAGTAACAAGAGTACATAACCCCCCAGGGTGTGCAACACCTGATCCAACTCTGCATAGGGTCTTGGTCGAGCGTAATAGGATCTTGTCATGCGTACACTCCACACCAGCGCAAGGCCGGTCTCGAGACAGGGCACCATTGTTTTTGATCTTAGAGTACCCGCGACTCCCCGGGTTCCCCTCAGATGTGTACGGTATTATGACGCAAAGATCCGATTACGTTGGACCAAGACCCTATGCAGAGCTGGATCAGGCGTTGCACACTCTGGGGGGGTTATGTACTCTTGGTAGCAATAATGCTATTTCCACTGAATATCGTCCAAGGGGTGCCTGGTAGACCGAAGTGCCCGTAACTTTTGGGTCCCGATAGCCGAGGTGTGAGTGTACAATGCATGTACTGTTCTCACCCACATCCAAGTACATGCCCTTTTATGTGCAAACTGCGGTTTTTTTCTTCATATTTTGCCATGAAACAAATGTTCCAGATACAAGGGCATGTCTTTCAATATGAGTACTTGAGTCTTCAAAATACACTCTTGGCTCTTGAGTTTTTGTTTCATGCCTTTTTATTATGTGGAGGTGCCCTTGTATTCGAATATAAGTGCGTCCCTTTTATGCACGTGAATATGGTGTGTGTGGCTATGCTATGGTTGGTGATCTGAGGCAATGCAATGTAATGCTTTTTTGAAAGTTTTTAGAATGGGGTTTCTCTGCCATCACCGGTACACGGCAGATTGGACCTATCTGGCAAATATCTCTGAATTTATCTTGCTCTGACTTTTACTTGTCAAATGACTCCAACTGAATAACCTCCCTTCAATATATTTCAAGGTAGATGGATTTTGTTCAACACTATCTCTTTCATATCCTTTGCGATAAGCTTTTATTGTGATCTGAGCTTGCGTGTGTAAAGTTCAAGACGGGATGGTTTGTACCTTTTGTTTCTTCTGTTTTGATTTCAGGCTGCTGGGAGATCTCCACTGGCTACGTCTGTGAAATCTGAAAAGCCTGTGCCCATTGTTGGCAAGGTACGAGTCCTAGGTGTTGTCTTCTGCCAGTGGGTGTGGGTGGCAGTCTGACTGTTGACTTTCTGGTTTGTGCACGCTATGTGAATATAGTGTGCGTGTGTGTGTGTGTGTGTTGGACCGTCATGTTCAGCCAAACGTGTGTGCATGCAGAGGCCGTGTATCCTGTACGCATAGTGAGTATTGAGCTGCTGGTCTTGTCTTTAGCTTGATGACGAGAAGCTTTTGCAGAGACAGCAGGGTGTTTCCCTAGTCCATACACTTCACCATTGTGCAGAATTGATTTGCAACCTGCATCCTTTGTGTCCATTTTCTCTCTCTCTCTCTCTCTCTCTCTCTCTCTCTCTCTCTCTCTCTCTCTTGTATTTTTCTCTGCCTTCATTGCCAGGAGGAACGCCGGAAGCTGCATATAACCGCCGAACAAAAACGCCGCGTCCACATACGGGTAAGCTAGTTTGCTTCCCATATCCTGCATATACCGGTAACACCGTATGGAGCACCTTACACTACAGCCACTCCTTACCGCAAGTGCTCTGTACTTTTTTTACTTAGAAGTTTAGTCGATCCCTGGCTATTGCTGTGCTAAAATATCGTGCTGCAGCTTGCTTGCTGCTCAGAGTCACGGCGAGTGTACTTGTTTTATCAGCCTGCCCTGTGAATTCTTCTCTCTACAAATGTGCTTGCTGGATGGTGTAGTGCAAGTCACAGTGGCTGACAGGGGTTTGTGCTCTTATTACTCTCCAAATCCATCAAACGGGTTGTTTTCTTGTGCACATGTGTGTGCGTGTGGGTGTGGGTGTCTTCTCCATACATGTATCAGAATGGATTTGACGAGCTTCAATCATTGGTTCCAAGTGTCAGCGGCCAATCAACTAAAATCAGTAAAGCCGTCCTGCTGCAGAAGTGTAAGTCCGCAGGGTTTGCCACCGTAAAAACCCGTGTATAGGCCCCGGGCGTATAGAATAGCAGACTCGATTTCCTGGGCGTATACAAGGGCACGGGCGTTATTTCGGAACCGGGCGTATACTTGGAATAGGGATAGCAGTAAGTATTGGGTATCAGTACCTGTACATGTACTGGTGTTTCCGGCATACCTGGGCGTATACATGGATGGGCATGGGCGCTATTTTGAAACAAAAGTGTCGACTTCCCCTGACTGGGCGTGTACATGGAGGGTGGGCGTATACAGGGGCTTTTACGGTACTGCATTGCCCTTTAGTATTTCTTTGTGCTTTTTACTGCAACATGGCCAATAGTGGCGATAGAAGTTTGCTTAGTGATTTCACTGAAGACATCTAGGCTGGCAGCACTAGACACCTACTCGTTGTATAAGTAGCCAGCTTTATTTTCCTTTTCCGTGTGCAGCAAATCCATAAGGGCCCAGTGTATTGACCTGGTTTGTGCCACATGCTTGCCTACCGCAGTATGCAACAACAACAACAACAACAACAACAAATTCTCTTATTGGCCACAGGCCATTGTAAGAATAAAAGATTTGAAACAACAACCATGATATCTGCAATACTTTTTAAATGTCTTATTCTTGTGCTTGTCCTGACTCTTAGCTGTGGAGCACATGCGCCATCTGCAGCAGGAGAAGAAAGGCGGAGAGGAGGAACTCGACATGCTACGTGCTGAGGTGGCGCGACTCAACGAAAGCATCATGTAAGTGCAGCTACTGTGCGTGTGTGTGCGTGTGTGTGTGTGTCCGCGTGTGTGTGCATGGGTGCATGTGTGTGTGTGTGTGTGTGTGTGTGTGTGTGTGTGTGTGTGTGTGTGTGAGAGAGAGAGAGAGAGAGAGAGAGAGAGAGAGTGAGCGAGCGAGTGAGTGAGTGAGTGAGTGCATGTCTGTGTGAATGTCTGTCCGTTCACGCTGGTGTGTCAGTGGGGGGAGGGGTACCTTTCGCACAATTGCCATGTGTGGATGTCTGTCTGAATATCCTCACTAGCGATGTCACTGTATTTCCCTGACGCAACAGGTATATCACCTAATGTGTAGGAATTAGACACTCCGACACGGCCACCTTGCCAACTAACAGTGATTGATATTGCAGCTCTGTGTGTTGTGTGATTGTATTGCTGTAATGCTGACTTCAGGCATTGTCAAGACCAATTGCCGGTGACTGGAGCGCCGGTGACACGAACTGTAAGCTACAGTAGTGGAATTGTTCATTTGATCACCTTTGAGTTTTGCCTGCACTGGCTGTACTGTACTCATTGCAGTGGATATCGTTTGAGAAATGGCTATGTCCGTGTCCTGTCCCTCACCCCCAACATCCTACACCATGCTATAGCTGTCCTGTACAGCTGGTAGCAACCCATGGCAGCGGACAAGTAGTTCTCGGCCCGCCCGCTACACCAATCATGTCAATTGATTTTACTCTACTTCAGTAATTATTTACATCCAGTTCATTTGAGCTTGATGAACCAAAATACCGAAACGATACGGAATTACAGCCACTCCATGCATTCCCTGCAAAGATATGAAGACTGATTCTTGTTGTACCCTCGTACGTCCCGTTGTTCTGCTCCCGAAAACCTTGCGGGGTGCACAATAAGCCCATTGCGCAATGACGTAATTTGTACCATAAACACCCCCACACAGCCACCTAGTACCTGGGCATAATCGTCTGGGGTACGGTACGGGGTGTTGAACAGTGCATTCCGGTTCCTGATCCCAATGTACTCACATGCATTACTCATTCCTTCCATATTTGGCAATGCGCAATGGGCTTATTGAGGAATTCATTACTCTTTCCACACTTGGTAATGTTCTTCTCATTTTTTTCTTCGTTGTCTCCCATGTAGCGCCTGGACCACACGCAGCAGCTGTTTGATCATTACGTCAACATCAGAACGCAGAGTAATTACAAATTCTGGATCGTATCCTCTCACTGCGGCAGGTGTGTGATGTCAGTGGCTTGTTATGCCGCTGGCTGTGTACTTACTGTGAGACAGTGACGTTTTGGGAGACGGGTTTCCCTTTGAATCGCGTACATCCCGTGTCCAGTATGCTTGGCTAGTGTTTCCACTGTGAACAATGCAGTGTGGGTCCCGAAGAACGTGCTGATCAAAGTCAAAGCATTGGCCATTCTAATTTCCATCACTCTGTGTTGTTGAGCCATTGCGTACAAAACGGTCTACCATGCTCGGTGAAGCTATAGCCTATTTGTTCTTCGATGTACCGTTCTTCGGCACCCGGCAGGACTGTACATGTACTGCTGCTGCTGCTGCTGCTGCTGCTGCTGCTAGCATGTGTGTTGCTTGTCCTCGTGTGTATATGCAGCATTGTCTGTCTTGTTGACTTTGGTGATGTACTGTGTGAGACTATGAGTACAGGTGCATGTATGCATAACTACGGTACATTGGGTATACTATCTAGTATCTACAGTGCATTGCCACCCAGCCATCACATACGTACAGTACTCTAATCAGATGTAGGGCTGTGACTACTGTCAGTCCAGTGTCAGGATCCTGCTGTTGCTATTGCTGTTGCTGTTGTCACTGCCGTTCCTACTGTTGCTATGTCTAGTACAAAGTGTCAGGCGTATTTGTGGGGCTCTATTGTCCTTAACTCTAGCTACAGTTTAGCATGATTGTGCGCTCTTTGTTCGACGCGTACAACAACTCGGTGTCTACAATGAGTGAGGATGAGATGTGTCGGTCGGTTCTCAACTGGTTCGATCATCACTGCTCGCTGAGAGCGCTGCGACCAGGTAAGGAGAGTACTGCATGTGCGTGAGTGCGTGTGTGTGTGTGTGCGTGTGTATACGTGTGTGTGTGTGCATGCGTGTGTGTGTGTGCGCGCGTGTGTATGTGTGGGTGGGTGTGGGTGGGTGCATGCGTGTGTGTGGGTGTGTGTGTTCCATGCTAGTTACATATGTGCCTTGGTCGAGGTCACCTTCCCACTACCCGTTGCTAGTCCAGTGAAACCGGTCTACGGCAACCGCTCAAGGGACCTTTATAAGGTGTACCCTGTGTGCAGGTGGTCTCCTTATCCAGGGTCGTTTCACTGAACATGACATGCCTTGGTCCTAGTTGTAGTGGTCTTCTAGGACAGGTGGTCTTCTTATCCAGGGTTGTTTCACTGAACATGACATGCCTTGGTCCTAGTTGTAGTGCTCTTCTAGGACAGGTGGTCTTCTTATCCAGGGTCGTTTCACTGAACATGACATGCCTTGGTCCTAGTTGTAGTGGTCTTCTAGGACAGGTGGTCGCCTTATCAGAGTGGTCACATAATCATTGGCAGGCTGTACTGTAAAGCTACTGTCACAGCTACTGTCACCTCCAGGAAGTTTCTTTATCTTGCCCTTGTCCGTTGTGAAGTTGTGGTCTGTGAGTACTTGACAGCTGATCTAGGGGCATGTTCGCGTGTGATGATTGCAATTTGGTATTCTGTGTTGCAGCCGTTCTGAGCTCCCTGCGTCAGCTGAGCACTTCCACATCTATACTGTCGGATCCCAGTAAGCTGTCGACAGAAGCAGCGGCAGCCGCAGCATCTACTGCCGGCAATAGCACGGCCACTGCCGTGCCGTCCAACTCTGGCTCGGGAGCAGCAGCAACAGCAGCTGTAGCGGCCGCCACAAGCCAGCTGACACAGCCCAATGCGGCAGCCACGGCCGCTGCTAATGCAGCAGCAGTTGCAGCGATGGCATCGACATTCCAGCCTAATTTCCAGGCACAGCAGCAGCAGCAACAGCAACAACTTGCTCACCTGGGCGAGGCAGCACGCCAGCAACGAGCACAACAACAGCAGCAGCAGGCACAACAGCCCTCACAGTTGCAGCAGTTGAATTATTTTGCTGACGGTGGTCTGCCATTTCTAAACCCAGCCTTCAAGTAGATGATAGTATCGGAACACAGCGTAAGCCTCAGGCCACCTGCAACTGGGGTGGCTGCATATAAATTATGTGCATATTTTGGTCAATATTTGGATGAGAGCATGAAATTAGCCTGTGTGATCGCTATCACACACACGAAAAATCATATCCACTACTTCTGCTGCATGGAGACATGAAACGTTTTGCACCGACCGCGCTCAGGGATCTCGTGGAGGCACACACGATTGCCGTGTTGCAGCTTGGTGCACTGAGTCTTGATTTCGACGACATGTCTTGCTGCCCCCCTTTGCTGTGCATGTGTAAGAGCCGGTGCCATCTTTCTTTTCTTTTCAAAGCAAGTCATTGATTTTTGCATTGCATTTCAGCACCTACCTATTTAGAATGAGAAATTGCCCGTTCTTTAAAGTTGTATCTTTTTTTAAAGACTTACCGGAATTGATTCATTTCTCTCTCTCTTTTTTTGTCGTCGTCTTTTCGAGGCCCGTTGAAATGTTTGACTACTTAGTATTTGTTTCTGCTACGGTTCATTTACTAGCGTAGGTTGTTTTGTTTGAGTGTGCGCCAGTTATCGTGAAGTGAATTCAGGCTGCGTGTAGTCGTTCTCTAGGTCTTGTACATTAGCCCCTCCATGCACTCGCACCACTCTTACTCTCGTCTTTCGTTGTCGCGTTTGACGCGCCTGTTTTCCACCGCTATCTTTGTTGTCTCAGTGCGGGCATCACTTGACAAGCCAAACTCGCAAAACCGCTCGTGTCTGTGCACTGCATTCCCAAATTTACGGTTCTGTTCCGTAGCTGATGAACATTCTGCTTGGTCATCTTGGTATAAAATAAATCCACTACAATCATTATATTCTACTTGGTCGTATCGGTTTTAATCCACTGTTAGGGTATATTGGGGAGGTTTGATCATTCATAGACATTCATGGATAATGCCTGGATTTTGACTGGGGTGGAAAGATTATGACTGTGTTGGTGGTGCAAACGAGAAACCACACCGACCTGCCTGCTGCAAAACCCTGCGAGTACATAATTATTATGAAGGCCATTTTGACAGTCAGGAGTCATGACAATGTTGGATCCACTTGGATGCAGTTTTCGTGTGAATCCAATCCATACACATTTTTGTTGCATGGTTGGTTTCCTTCACACAGTAACGTGACACATCCACTGGTAAAGGCTGGACTGGGCCATACCGGCGGCCGTGAATCCACTGCTGGCGCAGCGAAAGAAAGCCACACCAGCAATTATGCGACACGCAGGTCCTACCCACCAGACACGTGGATCCAATTATTTGACCCGGAAGCCGCTAGGCGTAGGCGTTCGACAATATCAATTTCAAGGCCAATGGTTCTAATCAATGGCTGCACTACTGTCATAGCTGCCATTGATAAAGCGAAATAACCTCCCAGCTAGTCAATGACACGGTACAAAGGACTTTTAAGATACATGGTGACTAGAAATCATACAGTTCAACACGCATAAACATTGAACACACCGTCATGAATCTACGAATACGATCCCAGCTCGCTAAGCATTGTAGATGTCATCACAATACAATTCCAGTTCAGTAAGCATTCAGCCGTACATAATGTCATTGTTACCTGTTATCATGCAGCCGTACATAATGTCATTGTTACCTGTTATCATGCAGCACGCTCACAAGATACTCACACTGTATCACTGTATCACATCTTCCAATGAATGTCCGGGCTGCAGGATCACGACGACTGGTACTGGTCGAGGGAGTAGTAAAATACCGGTATTTTACCACTCCCTGGCACTGGCCTCCGACTGCAGTGATGCAGCAAGGCCGGCAAGGGACCAGCAGCATGTCACCATTCACATGACACAGCGCACCCACCCACATGTCCCGCAGTGAGATAGAGAGATTGTCCACATAGCGCACGCATGTCGTGTAGCGAGGACATCATGGTGAGATTGTCCATGCAGGTGTCGACTGCGGATGGACCACAATTGGTGCTCTGTGGCTGCACCCATATATTATCGGATAGTGTTCAGCTCCACCGCAGCACGTTGAACAAGTGTGGTGACACTGTATACGTCATTTCCAGACGGCCACGTTTTACGCCAATACACAGAGCTGATTTTACGCAGCGCATGTGCAGGGCATGTGCAGGGCATGTGCAGGGCATGTGCAGGGCATGTGCAGGGCATGTGCAGGGTCAGTGGCAGTCAGTGACATAGTACTGTATCCATAGTATCACTAGTTGAAGTGAAAGAGATGATGTCTTGCGGATGGCCTGGCTTGATCATACATGTGTACTGGTCCCGGCATGCGTAGTTCAACATGGTACTGCGTCAGTCTTGATCAGGTAAGTTGCCGCACTCTAGAGCTACGCTCTGCCACTTGTCCAGGTCTGGCCAGTCCAGGTTACTGCCCAGTATCAGTGACTGTGACATCCACGCATGCATGCCAGGCAGGGTGCACAGTAAAATGATGCACACACATGCACACACACAGACACACACGCACACATACCATACATACAAGCATTCGCACACACGCGCATGCACGCACACACGCACACACACACACACACACACACACACACACACACACACACACACACACACACACACACACACACACACACACACACACACACGCGCACACACACACGCACACGCACACGCACACGCACACGCACACACACACACACACACACACATGCACGCACGGTGCAAAAGTTACTCAACATTTCATAATGAGACAGTGTTCATGTGTTTCTACTTTCTAGGTGCCATCAGAGATTGGCTCCGGTGTGCACGTGCACAGCACCAACTGGCCAAGTGTAACCATGGAAACCTTGAAAGTGTGCAGCAGCAGAGAGACAAAAGAAATCCTGCATTTTCGCAAACATTCTAGTCTCCTCCATGCATTTGTCTAGAAGAAGCCAGCGGCAAGAGAGGTACCTGATTTCAATGAGCCCGCATGAACACACTTTCCAGAAAAGGTGCCTCATCAGAAAATGAAAGAGGCCCACTCGAATTCACCCTCGGGCTGCAGGCTTTCCTTAAAAATACTCAGTGACAACACACAATTCACTCAAAAATTCAGTCAAAATACATAAATTTTGCATCCTGACTACTGGTCAAAGCTACAATGGGCTCATGCTGCTGGTCAAGTCTCTTTCTCTCTTTCTTTCTTTTCTTTATGCAAGTAGAGTTATAGAGAATGAGCAGTGCGAACTGAGCATTAGAAACTCCAGTGCGGGTCTGAGTCATGCTAACTAGTCCTACCTGAAGTATATGTCTTGCTAACTAGTCCTACCTGAAGTATATGTCTTGCT